AAGTCTCCACGCAACCAGAATAGTAAGTTCCCTGAATAGTAAGTTTCAAGCGGGTCAAGCAGGGTGGGTGGGCTGTTCTCCGTCACTTCTATGAGCTCATTCACATTTACAGCCTTTGCTTTAACCCATGAAATAAGTAAAAGAAGCAAGTGCTTCTCTTCCTGCCCCGGAGGTGACTGACTGTTTCCTCACTGTGGCCCGGGGCCAAGCACATTATGTGCCGCATCCCTTAAACTCTCCCTCTCCTGGCAACCTGGAGGCTGGTGCTGATGCTGATGAAGTTCACTGATACCAGGGGGTGAACTAGAGCAGGATCTTCAACTGTAAGGGCACAGAGCGTCCTGTGGGCCCAGGCCAGGCGCCAGGCGCTGCTCCAGGACAGCCTTGGCACAGGGGAAGAGCCCTGGATGTTGACTTCAGCCCTCTGTGCTGACTCAGTGGGCACAGGGCTTTGTGAAGGTAGAGTCGGTGAGAATGCCTGATAGGGCTCTCGGGGCAGTGAGACCTCTCCTGCTGAGTTCTAGACAGCACGTTCCTGGTTTTGTGCAGCCAGCAGTGTCCCGAGGGAGGCTTTCTTTGGGAATTCTAGATCAGCAGGGGCTCGAAGCGCCTGATGGGGCATCTTCGAGTTGGAGACTAAACAGGTCTCAGTACACACTGGGCGGTGACATCTATTTTCCTCTAGTTTTCTGGTCTCCCAAACTCTCCTTCAGACACCCAGCCTCAGCTCTGGAGCCCCCATCCCTCCTGCCACCTGCCAGCAGGAGATACAGTTTTGCTTTTAGTTTTGCAATGGCCTCAGGCAGCTCGACATGGTCTGGCCCCTATAACTCGGACCTGCTCTCCTCCTGCTCTCTCACACACTGTGACCCAGCCACCCTGGGCTCCTCCTCTGTCTTAGAGCTTTCACAGTGTCTGTTCCCCCTGCCAGGAATGCCCTTCCTCAGCATCTATATGGCTGACCCTGCCCTTTAGTCAAATCTTTGTTCTCATATCTCCTACCCAGTGAGAGCTACCTTTAACCCTGCAACCTGCACCCCCAGCTGTCCTGATCCCCCTTTCCTGACTAGACAGTTTCCCCATAGCATTTATCACCTCCCACCTATTATGTAATTCCCTCATTGATTGTGTGTATTGTTTATTTTTTCCCCTTGCTAGAATGTAAACTCTTTAAGGGCAGGGATCTTTGTTTCTTTTGACCACTCATAACCCCAGCAGGTGGCACGGTGCTTGGCACATAGCGGGCCCTCAATAAATATTTGTAGAATTAATAAAGGAATGGCAGGCCCTGCCTTCTGGCCTGGACCTCAGACTGGGGCACCTGCAATCGACTTGGGCTGGGGAAGGTATTGCTGGTGTCGGTTCATGGCTCAGGGGAAGGAACCTGGAGAGAATTATGACATTGTCTGTCTGCTACCTCCACAGAGCCCTTTTCTGACTGGGAGAAGGGAGTTTTGATTTTGCTTCTATTTTGCCTTCTAACAGGCATGATCTTCAGTTTCCTAATCTGTAAAATGGGGTTAATAACAATACGCAGGCGAACATATTGTCTCCCTGGGCTCTGGGGGAGAATGGAAGGGTCCCAGATTTAGGTAGAAACAGGAACAATTTCACCAGCGGAACTGGGACAAGGGTCCTCACCCTGACTCTGAAGAAGGGGCCCAGACAGGAAAGGGCCTCAGGACTTGGCTGGGAGTGGTGTGGGACAAGACATTCTCCCGGACACTGCCTGGCTCTGCCTCTGGAGTCTCGTCTTTCACCAGGGAGCAGGTGTCTGGCCAGGGCACTGAGAGGAGGCTGGGATGCTCAGCTCTGAGCAGACCTGCTTCCCCCCAGGGGGCTGGGAGGTGCTGGATTGTTCTTAGTCCTGAACCCTACATACCTCCTCCCTGGCAGCCCCCAGCCCTACAGTACTCCTGGATTCTCCCTGTGACCACAGATATCTTAAGGCAAAATCCATGACAAAGAGCAGCCAGGCCTGGGGCAGGTGGGCCCAGGGGACCACACCCTGGTCCCTCAGCTGGGGCTGCTCTGCGTCCCAGCAGCGGGGATCTGGCTGACTCACTGGGTGGCCCTGGCTGAGTTACTGTGTGGACTCAGCATTCTTCCACTCACGCAGTAAAGATAACAGCCCTGTCCTTTCAGGTTGTCAGGGTGTGGCGGGTGATGGACATAAAGCGTTAGCAGGTACGTGGCCACTGGGTGATGAGTTGGCATCACTGTGCCGTTGCCTTTAGATTATACCCATCCCAGCACCAGTGCCACTGGAACTGGCCCTCCAGGTGTGTGCATGTAGATGGGGACCTCGGAGATGAAGAGAGGGGTCTAGAAGTACAAGCTTGAGGAGCAACACTGAACCCCGGAGACCGGCTATGGGCTGGACCTTAGGGGCAGAGGGAGGAAAGCATGTCCTTTGGGGGGTTTTTTGCCTGGGGAAGGTGGCAGTCAGAGGAAGCAGCAGCTACTTGTCTGCAAAGCCTCTGCCTCCCAGCATCCCCTCCCCTGCTGCCCCTCACTGATGTCTGGGCTCCACTGTGGGAGATGCTGGCCATGTCCCCACCCCTCCAGAAGCCCAGGGAGCCACTCTGAGCCCTCACCCTGCTCCACCCCTCAGCCCTGCTGGCAAAGTCAAAACTCCCTGGGAAGAGAGAAGCAGACCGTGGGACTTTCCATGCAGGGCTGGCTGGCCCCTGAGACACGGGGGCTGTGGATGTGGCGCCTCTGCAGCCCGGCACAGGTTACCCCTGCCCGCTGCTGCCCCATCCTGCCAGGCTGCTCTCGACCCCTCACTCTCTTCTCCAGCAGCACGTCCTCGGCCTGTAGGGCTCCTCACTAGTCTCTCTCTTTCCTCCTCGTGGGTCCTGCCGCCCAACTTCCACTCTGCAGCCAGAACGATCTTTCCATGATGCCAGCCTGAGAGGTCGGTCCCATCCTCTGATTCTTCAGTGGTTGCTCTTCGAGTCGCTGACTCTTCGCCTTGCCATTCGGGGTCCTGTGGGTTGGTGTCAACGCTGTCATTTCCCAGTGGTGTCTTTGACGTCCTGCCCTCCGGCCGCGCGGCTGGCTTTCTGTTCCCGTGAGGCGGCAGTGCTTCCGCCAGGCTGCCTTTGCTCACAGAGGCCCCCCGCGGCCCCACCTCTCCCTCTGG